TCATCAGTATAATGGTGCCATTGTTCTCAGTGTGAATGTCTCAACTGGACAATACGTTTAAAATATCTCTGTTCTACCAGGGTAACATATGTTCCATTCTTTAATCATCTACTGATCGTTGGGGCATATTGTGTCTCCTGTTAATGTCATGTACATATAGACATTGTTTAAACTTAATAGGATGACAGGTCAGAACTGTAACTGCAGATCCTCGTGAACTTGACTCCAGTCGTTTGAAAACCACGCTCAGGCAATTGACTCAAAGTCTATGATAAATGACAGTGGCCATATAAACTTTTCAGACACATGAAGGGGTCCGCGTCATAACCCTTACGTTAAATATATTAGACTGTGAAATCCTTAGATTTCAATATCCGAGTAAACTTCAAGAACCCAGCCGAATATCAATGCTGGTGAATCATTACCTTTATTACACAGAATTGCGTGTCAGTTTCACACTACACTAATTACAGTGTCTAGACATAGACTAGAGGCGATAACAGACCATTTAGTCTCCCTGTCATATGCAAGTGAAGGAGTCCCTGTCATAACTAGCCACAGAAAACATGTTTTCAAAAGTCTTCCACAGGAATAGTGTTAACCTTACTTCACGGGTTCTCATAGTTTGTGGATAGACAAAACTGTCAGAATGTTACATATTTTTCTTATTCAGTTCCATTATTTTCACTAATTTGAAATATTGGTAATAGGTTCAGAATTATAGCACTCAAATCCTACCAGTTCACGAGGTCTACCATCACTTAATTTTTTCTTGCCTTCAAGTACAATTCAGTAGTTTGGGGCAAGCAAGTTCATGGACGAGTCAGGCTGCTCAAGATGAGAATGGATGAGTGTAGGCTGTTAGAGATGAGAAGGGGATGAGTGTAGGCTGCTAAAGATGAGAAGGGGATGAGTGTAGGCTGCTAAAGATGAGAAGGGATGAGTGTAGGCTGCTAAAGAAGAGGGATGAGAAGATGGGATGAGTGAAGGGGAAGATGAGAAGGGGATGAGTGTAGGCTGCTAGAGATTGAGAAGGGGATGAGTGTAGGCTGTTAGAGCTGAGAAGGGGATGAGTGTAGGCTGTTAAAGAGAAGATGAGTGTAGAAGGGGATGAGTGTAGGCTGCTAAAGATGAGAAGGGGATGAGTGTAGGCTGCTAAAGATGAGAAGGGGATGAGTGTAGGCTGTTAGAGATGAGAAGGGGATGAGTGTAGGCTGCTAAAGATGAGAAGGGGATGAGTGTAGGCTGCTGAAGATGAGAAGGGGATGAGTGTAGGCTGCTAAAGATGAGAAGGGGATGAGTGTAGGCTGCTGAAGATGAGAAGGGGATGAGTGTAGGCTGCTAAAGATGAGAAGGGGATGAGTCAGGCTGCTAGAGATGAGAAGGGGATGAGTGTAGGCTGCTAAAGATGAGAAGGGGATGAGTGTAGGCTGCTAAAGATGAGAAGAAGGGGATGAGTCAGGGACTGCAAAGAGCTGAGAAGGGAAGGGATGAGATGAGAAGGGGTGAGTCAGGCTGCTAAAGATGAGAAGGATGAGTGAGTACTAGGCTGAGAGAAGGGATGAGTCAGGGAAGGGATGAGTGTAGGCTGCTAGAGATGAGAAGGGGAAGGCTGTTAGGATGAAGGGGATGAGTCAGCTGCTAGAGAGCTGAGAAGGGATGCTCAAGATGAGAAGGGGATGAGTCTAGGCTGTTAGATGAGATGAGGGGGATGAGTGTAGGCTGCTGGGAAAGATGAGAAGGGATGAGTGTAGGCTGCTAGAGATGAGAAAGGGGATGAGTGTAGGCTGCTAGAGCTGGGAAGGGGATGAGTGTAAGCTGCTTGAGAAGGGATGAGTGTAGGCTGATAGACATGAGATGAGAAGTGTAGGCTGAGACCTGGGAAGGGATGGGTGCTCCTAGAGATGAGAAAGGGATGAGTATAGGCTCTTACAGATGAGAAGGGGATGAGTGTAGGCTGATAGAACTTAGAAGGGGATGAAAGTAGGCTGCTAGAGATGAGAAGGGGATGAGTGTAGGGGTGATAGAGGGGGATGAGTGTAGGCTGATAGAATTGAGAAGGGGATGAAAGTAGGCTGCTAGAGATGAGAAGGGGATGAGTGTAGGCTGATAGAACTTAGAAGGGGTGAGTGTAGGCTGCTATAACTTAGAAGGGGATGAGTGTAGGCTGCTGGAGATGAGAAGGGGATGAATGTAGGCTGCTAGAGCTGGGAAGGGGATTGGTGTAAGCCCCTAGAGATGAGAAGGGGATGAGTGTAGGCTCTTACAGATGAGAAGGGGATGAGTGTAGGCTGATAGAACTTAGAAGGGGATGAAAGTAGGCTGCTAGAGATGAGAAGGGGATGAGTGTAGGCTGATAGAACTTAGAAGGGGTGAGTGTAGGCTGCTAGAACTTAGAAGAGGATTAGTGTAAGGGTGATAGAGGGGGATGAGTGTAGGCTGATAGAACTTAGAAGGGGGTGAAAGTAGGCTGCTAGAGATGAGAAGGGGATGAGTATAGGCTGCTGGAGATTAGAAGGGGATGAATGTAGGCTGATAGAACTTAGAAGGGGTGAGTGTAGGCTGCTAGAACTTAGAAGGGGATGAGTATAGGCTGCTGGAGATTAGAAGGGGATGAATGTAGGCTGCTAGAGCTGGGAAGGATATGAGTGTAGGCTGCTAGAGCTCAGAAGGGGATGAGTGTAGGCTGCTGGAGATGAGAAGCGGATGAGTGTAGGCTGCTAGAGCTGAGAAGGGGATGGATGTAGGCTGCTGGAGATGAGAAGGGGATGAATGTAGGCTGCTAGAGCTGGGAAGGATATGAGTGTAATTTGATAAGCTGGAGAAGGGTATGAGTATTGGTTGCTGGAAGTGGAAAGCATGAGTGTAGTGAGTGCATGCATTAAACATATCCTCTTCTTATCTGTAAGAGCCTGTTTACAGCAAATTCCAGAATGGGGTAAGTCTTAATAACCCACCCTTCTGTCACCTGTCTTGGGAATAAACACATCCACATCAACATCACTTCTAAAAGTATAATCAATCATCGCATTGAAGCTACCACTGACGATTAACTAATGATCAATTATCATGATTATAGCTACCATAATTCCTTGTGTTGCATCACTGTTGACATCTCGAGTGACATCCGTATTGTGATAAATAGCTCATTATGGGTTGGTTGTATAACCTGTTTTGTCAAAACATCATCAATCTTTAAGAATCCTGCTAGACTATTCACTCATGAATGCCATGGGACTAGATATTGATTAAATCAATTAATCGTATTACCATTCCTTTACTTTCTCACATTATACATATAACATGTTTTATACCATGTTCTAAGTCGCAATATCTAAACTGTCTACATGAATAATGTCCTACATTGAAGGTCTGAAATGTTTTCTGCACATACTGTGATCAAGGCATTAACAATCACATTCAATAAGTATTAAGAAGGGACGCTGCCTGGGAAACATGGCAGCGACTAAATGTATCTGTGTGACTGCGCAATACTAATCATGTTAATGTAATAATCCCCGGTGTTCCCTATTCTAGTATTACAGGACTGACTGACTGACTGAGTTTAGTTTTACGCCGCTTTTAGCAATATGCCAGCAATATCACGGCGGGGGACCCCAGAAATGGGTAGTATTACAGGAGAAAACATCCATCACACCTCAACGCTGACATCCTATCATGCTACCAGACTGAGATATTTTGTCTCTGTACAAAAACAATTAATATTTCAAATACAGATTCCAAGTAACATGAGAATGTCTGTATTATTTCCTGTTGTCAAACACTGATGTAGGACTCCATGTTTCAGGTGAAGGCATCAATAATAACTATGGCAAACAAAACCAGTAACTGTTTTTAATAAACAGAGACACTGCCTGATATTTAATCATTAACATAATTGAATTTTCATAACCTTTTTGCAACACCTAGTGTCTAATCATGTTCTCAGAAATAGAACATTTCATTTTATCTAATACTTTTTCATGCTTAAACAAAGTAAGTAAAATGTCAACTTTTAGCATACAAACATGCAAATTATGGAAACCACAGCGGCAACCCTCTGATCATCATTTTGCTTCATCTGCTTTTCCACTTGATCAGAAACATTCCAATCTCTCTACTTTTTCAAAAAATGGCATTTGTCCTGATTCAATGGATCTTTTTCTGTCAGATAAATTATCAAAACATTTATTGAAACATTTACCTCCCTTAACCGTCTTTATTACAAGAAGTTAGGAGTGTTTCATGTATCAATATTGACTCAACCATTGTGATCACAGATAACTCATAAACTAACTCTTTATTGCAGAATTATGGTCTGATAAATGCAACACAAGAAGTTTCAGTTCAGACAGATTAAGAAGCAGGGAGGACTCATTCATTGACACTCACGCACCAAACACTGAGACAGATGATTCTAGGCCTAGTGGGAAGGTCATGTTGCTTAGGAAGTATTCACATATGTCATGATAAAATTACACATAGCATAGATGATTAAAGTGTTAAAAACACTGGGATATGTGAACATTTTCTGAGAATAAAGTTAAACTTTACATGCACATGCAAATTTACATGCACTGACAGATAAATGAAAACGATGAATTTCATCATGTATTCATGGGATTATCTTGAACATTAAAATTGCTAGTACTTGGACAATATTAATGGTATTTTCCCGATGAACATCCAGAGGCAAAACGATTTAAACATGCTAAACAACAATAACAACTGTTCTCGTTATAACATCCTTACATATCACAGCGTTATATCGAGGTGAAATTACGATGCAAAATGATCTGATGAAACTTCAGAACAAGTGAACGAATAATATTTTCAGTTATCTGATTTGTAAGGCAAGGCAAGTCTTGTTGGCCCATGGCAAATGCATTTAATGGCTTCCGAACATGAGCCGAATGTCACGACAAGGACGACACTTGAAAATCTCAAAACGTTGAGAACTCATCGGATGACAAATGTCGACAGAATCACGTGTTACTCACCGCGTGAAAACAGTGTACAGCAAGCCCAAAATTGAAGCTGCAAGAAGAGAGATGGTATGTGGTTTGTAGAAAAAATCCAGAGATATGTCATCGACTGATCTTTCGTTAATTATCACCCGAAAATACTCGTCGTCCTCTGCGATCATGCTGTCTTTCTTTGCAGACGCCATTTTCGGATTAATCTCAAGGGAGAGTTATACAGGGGAGGTAACTCTTGGTTTCCACCCCAGAGCCGAGCAATAACTCCTTGCTAAATTAACATTTCCTCTCATTCGTACCACCATAGGGAAATCGATAAATACTTCGTGTCGATCGTTAGGGATTCACATAATACCCTCTCCGCCAATAGCGCTCTTGAGAATGATAGTTTGGCCATTATGTTGATGAGTATTGACCCTCTCCCGGAGTGTTCATCTCAGTATTCAATATTTCTAATAAACCAGTCTTGATTTTTTAAAGTGCACTGCCGTACACATAAGTGTGCAGTCATTCGATCAGTAGATTTCTATATTTCTCCGCCATGAACAGTCAAAATTTCCACATGATCAAGTGTTTATTGAGTTTCGGGGCCATGCCCGTTTGTTTCCGATGATGAACAGATGGTGTCAGTGACGCATGTGAACAAAAACATCTCGTCATTAATTTAAGCCGTAGATTGATTCATATAATTTCGGATAAAGTATTTGAAATAATTTATTGATTCTTAACTTCATAGACAAAAGTTCTTGTCCATATATTTCTTTACTGTTCTGAGTAATAAGTGCGTGTCTTCTTTGAAGACAATAAATGAATGTGTACATCGGTGCTGAAAAACCAAGGATTAAGGCAAGGTCAATTCTGGGGTTCGAATTTATCAACGATGAAGCAGAAAACTATAAAGAATGAAAAAAAATAAATACGACAGCACCTCGGTAGCAATAACAGTGTCCACATTATTCTATTCCTTTAAAGTATAATGGATTGATAACTAGAGTGCACTTTCTCTACATATTTTAAAAGATGGTTAAGATGTGCAGAAAAATATGTAGGCCTGTGGCAATAGTCAAAATTACGACAACCATCCATGAACTTGCTGTTTTTGCTGGAAGATAGCTGATGTGTAGGCAGAGACCATATAATCTATTATATAGTCTCTGGTGTAGGTTATACGCAGACACTTAGTATGTTCATTTGTCGATGTAGAGCGTCTTTAAAAGAGCATCATATTGAGAGTCTCCCTGAACAATAAATGCCAGGGTTTTTTACTCACAACAAACGCGCTTTTCATCGTGATTTACACCATGCATAAAGTCATTACGCCATACTTCAAGTCCAGGATGCCGTTGTTCAAAGCGATCTTAGGTGACCGGACAACACCCATATATAGACTTAAGGTAGTCTTAGCGCTAAGAGGTTGTTTTGTACACCGACAGGACATCACTGAAGCAATATAAGCTGTGACAGAGCAATGTATGGACACAGACTTTACACTGACTTTAAAAAAAATAGTGTGAAGGGCAGAAACGTCAGAACTAGCTCATTTGTTCCCATTTCTCATGGATGTTCTTTTAGGACCAAGATTTGTGTTATTTTATTTACGTCTCGCTTAAGTAATATTCTAGATATGACAGCGTTCGGAAGAAAATGGAATCTCAACAAGACAGGCCTGTGACTGACATCATGAGCATCGATCTGTATTAGGGTTTGACGACATGCATGAATCAAGTCACCGGGCCTGACCACCTGGTCCCGTTAGTCCCATTTTTGGATTACGAAATATATATATATATGGTTGCTATCGACGATTTCTAACCCGGACCTTCTGCACGGGGAAGGAAATACCACCCAGCCACATAACTGTGTATCCTGCTGTACACGTTCAAACAGGAATTCATAACAATCGCGATCTGTAGTCGACATTTTGGTTTTCAAAGTAAAATGGAACATAAACAACTTTAAATCACTGTTCGAAATTTATTTCGGAAACAAATTGTAATCCGGGTGAACCAGAATCGACGTAATAAGAGTCGAGGGAAACTCTTGCCGAGTCAGCAGCACAAACATATCCCAAAATATATTTTGTTATTCCGCAGTATTTCTTCTTCTCCCTTCAGCATGCCATTGTTGGGATTAAAAATGTGTAAATCTATTGTTAAAAACACGAGGAGTATATGAATCTACAGCGAACTCCCTCTAAACCGACATCCCTCTAATCCGACATTCCCTGTAAACCGACATATTTATTTGGTCCCGAATTTCCCCCTATATAATATCATATAAGACACTCCCTCTAAACCTACATGCCTCTATTCCGAACTCCGGTCCCAAATATGTTTTTAGCGCAAACTGACTCTCTCTAAACCGACATTGGAATCAATCAGCAATTAACACGCTTGTGCGAGAGGAGGCCTAGCTGCTAAGGCGTAATAGGATTATCTGTTATTTCCTTGCTAATTACTTGTTCGCTGGATTCAATGGATTGGTGAAATCACCTGTTAAGTGGTGGAAGCCACGGTGGCTGAGCGGGTTACTTAGTAGGCGTCTGACTTTGTGTGCTGGCGATTAGGTGCCCGGCTCTTGTGGTGTGGGTTCGAATCCCGGATGGATGGATGGATGAATGTATTTAAATTTTTTTGTCATCAAAGCTATAAATCTGATAAGGACTCGATGACTGATCCCCTCGGGTACATTATTTGATTGTCGTGATAGTTCACTGGAAATTTGGTGAGGCGACAAAGAGACCATGAGTGTTTCGACAGACTTGACCTGATTACATTCGATTCATATACAACCACATGTTAGCTCAAAACTGAGTTTTAATAGATCTTCGATCGTCTCATCATTTACTAGAACGTTCTCAAGCAGTGCGTTGTTAAAGTTGAACTTGAAGGACATTATTTATCTTAACGTTAATAATTTATTACATTTTAAGGCATACAGATATCTTAGTCTGAGACAAAAACCTGGCATCAAGGTATAGTCTGTCACTGTCAGGGTTTAGCATTACGAGTCACTATATCCTTATAATTACATATACGAAATATCGTCGCACTTTCTTACAGCCGCAATGTTCGTTCGTTTGAATGCTGAACATACCTAGACTAGACGCATGCCAATACCCTTGACGTCATGTTTGTGTGCACAAGCAGATTCCGTCATAGTATCAAAGTTATTTATAGCGCCAGTGTTGCGCGTAAGTCATTACCCGAGAAGCTGGCGACGCTTGCCACAGCCGGAGCAGAACTCGGCTTGATAAAGAAATAGTCAGTGACAATATTTTCAGGGTGTTTCAATCACTTATGTTCAAAATGAGGTATCGATGATCTCATAAGTATCTATAAACCTCAAGTGTTCTTAGACCTGATCAAGTAGGCTTTATATAACGGGTACCGTAGTCCTGTCAAGGCTTCAGCCATAGAATCTTCCTTGTGGGCAATGACATTTCAATGTTTTACATTAGATGTGGATTAAATCATTGTTCATTTCACCATTTCAGTTGAAAGGCCTTAGATTGTAGGGTCATTGGTTTGTTTGATGCCAGCTTGTGAGCAACCAGTTCTTGGCAATAGAAATCACTGTCAGTTTGAAAGTGTTGCAATGTTTTGATAAATAGTGTTGTAAAAATATCATAAGCAATGGAAGACCTATTTGTTGTCAGCCTATTGTTATACTGCAGGGTAGTCGGTCATACAGACCCTAAACAAATATATACCCAATGCATCCCTTGCAAATCTGGAATTAACTTAGTGTTACCAAGTCTAGATTACCAGTTTCTGATAAATGAAGTCAGTCTCTGGACTCCTTTTTATTATATTTTGCAAGTATAATTTGAGTTAGTCTAACCCAGTGCTAATTGCAGAAAAAGCACCTATTTTGAAGGATCTGTGACAATACTGCCATGTAGCTGTTTATTTTGACTTAATCTGGAATGAAGCCAGTATAAGCTTTAAGGTTGAAGAGCTGAATGTTGGCCGCTTGTAAAGTGCCAGCTACAGAATCAACTACTGATATTGTATATCCATCTAAGAACCATTTGTGATGTCTACCTGTGTGGGAACGCGGGTATGTCGATATGGGGTGACTGTGCATGTGCGATGATGTAGGTGTGTTTAACTGTTGAGAGCAATGAATTTTATTGTTACATAATTTTACTTCAATTATACATATTGATTTTAATGTACAGAGTGTGTTGTAGGCCAACAGTCCGGATGTTAAGTTTACCACACTTTTATATTTGCAAATATTTGCAAACTGTAACACGTGACACTGTGATAATTTTCTTCTTCTTCTTCCTGACTAAAGGTTCATCAGGTGAGATGTAGCCACTAGAAAGTCAACAAAATCACGTTTCTGAGCCATCTGCTCAGAGTTTATTATATTTTATAATTTAGGAAAGCCTGAACAACAAAAAACAACAGTTGTTGACTAATTCTGTGGCTGGACCATTTCTATACAAATACCCGTAATGCATAACACTCTTTATACATTGTACCTGAAGTATCTGTAAAACTCAGGGAGAAATGGTGAGTGTATTGTCAGAATATTAGGACATATGTACCAATAACACTCCTCCATACATATCCTACCATCAACCTACATATACTATGTATATTGTCTCCTATTATCAACTGTTTATACAGAAATCATGCTTCCATGATAAACCTACCACACTGTGTCAATAACAAAGCAATACAAAGCACACTGTGTCACTCTCAACAACTGTTAGAGAACTCGACAGAGGATCTGTTATCATGACTGAAGAATCCAGCTACCTCACGGACAAGTCACCTTCTCACAAATAAATGACAGAAGTCTGATGGCTGTATGTACACAACACAGTTGATTTACTCACAACTGTCTGTCCCGAGTCAGTGGGGTTTGGACAAGTTTAATTTTCTTGTTCACATTTTGACCTTTGGTCTTGAGGTACAGAAGCCTTCTCAGCCTGTTCAGCTTATTGTTGGAGGAAAGCCCAAAGTGTTGCAGATCTCAGATGTTTTCAACCCACAACCATAGGTTTCTGTCATGCTCAAGGGATGTAACTCTGGTTAGAGAATTGCAGTGCACTTGTGAAAGCCTGATGCCTGATACAAGGATGTAACCATGTCAGTACCAGATTCCCCTGGGGTCTGTGGCTGGCTACTGAAACCACACATAAGTTTCACACTGGCAACAAGAGATTGGAGCCGAACCACTGACCCACCTTCAGTACCGCAGTGAATATGGCAGACGTCATGTCTGAGGAAATATCTGAAGACTTGATCAACTTTGTTGATTGAAAGTGGATGACATAACCAGTGGCTGTTTGGGAGAAAGTACAAGGCAGGGCATCAATCCACATGCTGGGACCAGAAGAGAAAGCAACCACACCGAAACACCATCTCTCAATGTTCAAACACTGGGCTATACTGTCTTTGTGAATATAAGTGAGGTCAGACAGGTGAAACATCAAGACACCATCTTCCTGCTGAATATAGCCAGGAGTTTGCTATTGATTTCGTCCACATTGAGTTTGTCCCCATAGAGAGGGAGGAGGGTGACAACCCCACGCCTCAGCATCAGGTCGGAGTCCTGGTGGTCCAGATGGTGAACCTGCAACAGAGGAGAGTCATACACATACATATGTCGATTGCACACAGAAGAACACCTTGATGAAGATTGCCCCAATAATGGAAATATTCCACTGATGAAATGTAAATATGTAAATAATCCAAATACGTAACCAGGTAGACCCATAGCAACGTGATACTAGCACATGCAGGATGGTAATTACTGAAAGAAATAATCACTTGAAGACTCATCCCTTTTACCATTATTTGTTTTGTTATATAATACCACACACCTTCATTCATATTCCAGCTATGTGATGGTGACCTGTTTATAAATCATGTTTGGCAAATTCAGTGATCTACATTATGAGCATTGATCTACGCAACTTGGATGATAGGACAACGGAGTCACGGCACTTGGCAACCTGATGCAGTTCGTCACCTCTTTTGACAAGCAACAATTTCTGAAGATCTTGATGTTCCACCAAGAGAACTGACTCACCTGTTTCCTTATGTACTCCACCATAAGAGCCAACTGGTGAGGTTCCTTGTCTTGACTCCTTTCAAAGAGGATTCTCCATACTGCTCCAGCCAACTCTCGGTCATCTCCCAGGATACCCTGCAGAGACAGCAGTTTCTACGTGAGACCATACATGGTGTACGTCCTGCATGAGAAGTACAAAACTGGTGTCAAGCCACCTTCAGACAACATTCAAAGAGTTGTACTGGCAGTTCTGTTCCAACATATGTCTCCAATATATCCTACACCTACATGCTGTGAAGGATCTAAGTTAGATTTCCTATACAAAACTCAAGGATACTCATCACTAATGCTACTTTCCAGAAAACTTGTCCCACTTGACTACTTACTTCATCATATGAGAAGAGAGCAGCATAGAAGGCAGCACCGAGATCCTGGATGCCCTCTTTCCTTGCGGTCAGTGATGCTGCATTCTGAACAACATGTATCTTATATTTACCAGCATATTATATAGGCCAGATTAAACCCGATCAGGATCTCCCTAATTCCACAAAGCAATGGTATAGCTACAACTACTGTAAATCAAATGGCTTGTGACAGACATAGCAAAAGATGAATGAATTCAACAAATTACACCATTTACAGCTGTATTCAAAGTGTGTCAGAACCTAAATACATTTATCCATAAAGTTATTCCCTAATTTTAGCACAGTATGAAATATCACACTTTATACTTTTCACAGTATCCTTATCAATGTCAAATAGTACACATCACACGTGTATGTATGAATGTTTGATCACTGACAAATGTTTCACTCAGTTTCACTTGAGACATAACATTTGTTGAGTTATCCTCCATCATATTTTATAATTGTTTCAAACAGTATTTGAAATCCAAGAGCACCTAGAAACATAATTAGATGAATCTGGGATTTGGATTCGAACCCATGATCTCAGGCTTCCAAAGGGATGCATCTCTGCTGTGAATTGCTGCACCATCACAGTGTAGAACCTACCCCTAGCTCCTTGCTCCTCCTGTCCACATCAGCCCACATGGCCTCCACCACGCTGTTCCGGACAACACGCCCCTCCTTGCCCAGCTCAGCTAGCCGCACCATACACAACCTAGACATAGTCACATAGTATTGTCACATTACCTGAAGACCATCTACCTGTCATGTATACCTGGACATAGCACTGTGACATTACCTGAAGACCATCTACCTGAAGACCATCTACCTGTCATGTATACCTGGACATAGCACTGTGACATTACCTGAAGACCATCTACCTGTCATGTATACCTGGACATAGCACTGTGACATTACCTGAAGACCATCTACCTGTCATGTATACCTGGACATCATGTCATGACAATATCTTTTGTTTGTTTAATGCAGCACTCAGCAATATTCCAGCTATATTGCAGCGGTCTGTAAATAATCAATCCTGGACCAGACAATCCAGTGATCAACATCATGAGCATCAGTCTATGCAATTGGCATATGATGACGTGTGCCAACCAAGTCAGTGAGTCTGACCACCAGATCCCGTTAGTCAGCCTCTTACAAAGACAAGCATGGGTTACTGTAGACCAATTCTAACCCAGATCTTCACAGGTGTGACAATATCTGACAACCATCAACTTGTCATGTATACCTGGACATCAGGTCATGACAATATCTGACAACCATCTACCTGTCATGTATACCTGGACATCAGGTCATGACTATATGTGACAACCATCTACCTGTCATGTATACCTGGACATCATGTTATGACAATATCTGACAACCATCTACCTGTCATGTATACCTGGCCATCAGGTCATGACAACATCTGACAACCATCTACCTGTCATGTATACCTGGACATCAGGTCATGACTATATGTGACAACCATCTACCTGTCATGTATACCTGGACATCATGTTATGACAATATCTGACAACCATCTACCTGTCATGTATACCTGGCCATCAGGTCATGACTATATCTGACAACCATCTACCTGTCATGTATACCTGGCCATCAGGTCATGACAATATCTGACAACCATCTACCTGTCATGTATACCTGGCCATCAGGTCATGACAATATCTGACAACCATCTACCTGTCATGTATACCTGGCACATCAAGGTCATGACTGGCCATCATATGACTATATCTGACAACCATCTACCTGTCATGTATACCTGGCCATCAGGTCATGACAATATGTGACAACCATCTATCTGTCATGTATACCTGCACATCAGGTCATGACAATATGTGACAACCATCTACCTGTCATGTATACCTGGACATCATGTTATGACAATATCTAACAACCACCTACCTGTCACGTATACCTGGACATCAGGTCATGACAATATCTGACAACCACCTACCTGGACATCAGGTCATGACAATATCTGACAACCATCTACCTGTCATGTATACCTGGACATCAGGTCATGACTATATGTGACAACCATCTACCTGTCATGTATACCTGGACATCATGTTATGACAATATCTGACAACCATCTACCTGTCATGTTATGACAATATCTGACAACCATCTACCTGTCATGTATACCTGGCCATCAGGTCATGACAATATCTGACAACCATCTACCTGTCATGTATACCTGGACATCAGGTCATGACTATATCTGACAACCATCTACCTGTCATGTATACCTGGCCATCAGGTCATGACTATATCTGACAACCATCTACCTGTCATGTATACCTGGCCATCAGGTCATGACAATATGTGACAACCATCTACCTGTCATGTATACCTGGACATCAGGTCATGACAATATCTGACAACCATCTACCTGTCATGTATACCTGGACATCATGTTATGACAATATCTAACAACCACCTACCTGTCACGTATACCTGGACATCAGGTCATGACAATATCTGACAACCACCTACCTGGACATCAGGTCATGACAATATCTGACAACCATCTACCTGTCATGTATACCTGGCCATCAGGTCATGACTTTATCTGACAACCATCTACCTATTCTTTACCTGAACAACATGTTATGACAATATCTCATGACCATCTACCTGTCGTGCATACCTGGACATCATGTTATGACAATGTGACAACTAATTTAAAATAACAAATCACTTGCATGATGATTGGTTTTGTAACAGTACACATACAGATATGTCCAGCAGTATCTGAAGGATCCTGTCTGTACGGTCTATGCACTGACGCCAGGCCATCATAGCCCTAACTAATCAAAGTGCATCTTGACACTCTTATGCTCTAATTCAGCTTGAAAGTCAAATTCTTAAAATTAAAATCATCAATTACTAATAAATTCAATATTATGAAGACTAATTCTATCTCACATTTTGCATTTCTGCTAACAGCTCTCAATGCAGAGTGGAAACAAAACTTAGAACAGGCTTACGACTATTGTAGCCCAGAGATTGCTTCATGCAGTGGGACCCTGCACTGCAAGAGTATCTAACTTACCAAACATGCAACTCTGTGACAAGGAACCAGGAGTTGAATGTATCAGGCAGGTCCAGATCTACAATAGAGGTGACATCTTCCTCACAAATATATTCTCACATTTGACACAGACAGACAGACACACATATATATATACACAGAGAGAGAGAGAAAAAAATCTCACCCGCGTGTCTTTTGATATCAAATATATCACCACAAATAAATAAATGTGAAAAAACTCTGAGGCTTGCTGTGGAGTTTTTTCACTTTATCAATGAGCGATATCTACTGTGGAAACCAGTATTGGATCATAAGGTTATCCCTCAATTGAGACTAACATTAACATATGGCAATGTGTTACCATGGATAATGTAACTCCAGCACCCTTGCATGATAACTAAGAATAAATAGTTCATATAGAATATTTTCATAACCGATTCTGCCAAATATGCAGAAATCGATCATTAGCATGCCATGCAAAATGAACTCAATTTCCAGTGTGAAGAACAAAACCATCTTTGGCACTTGGAACCTCTTCAATATTTTATGCATGAATTTAAGGGGCAGTGGTACCCTCATAGATTAAAAGGGGCGCATCCAAGAGTGTGCCATTATAGGAAGCTACTATACATACCCTGAAACATTTGTTTCAAGTCAACCTGAGCCTGACAGCAGACGTACATGTTGTATCCTGACAGCTTCAGTTTCTGGAGAAGACAAAACTACTGTCCCTGAAACAGGCTTGTAAGGGACACCAAAACTGGTGTCTCATGATGGCTAAACACCTTAAATTCTTAGTTCTCACTGCCATTAAAACAAATGTGAGGACACCCCTTACATGTCATGTCAGGATAACCTTTCTTTCAACCAATCAGATTATTGCTTATCATTCCTTGTCATGCAATTCTGAAAAGGAATTACATACAACAGTTTGGGGCTGTAGTCCTGAATCCATCTGAATCATCTATCTGTTCCTAACGTGGCATAAACATATCAAAAGATGAGACTTACCTCATAAGTACAGTCATACCAGCCAGGTCTATTAGGCCAAAAGGTTCTTTGCTCAGTTTTTCAGATTTCGAAAATTGTCAAATTATTCCTAAAAAAAAGTGTATTGGAAGATCTGATTCCAATGAGATTACATAATGGCTGCTGAGGCTTATGAAGGGGCTTTACTTCAGACCTCAATAATCACATTCCAGCATTAATTTAGACCTCTATCCATGTGACCTTGAGTATTTAAATCAAAGTGATAATTACTGAAGTTTCTATGTTCAAATACCTATGGGTGATAAGAGTTTTCAGTTACAGTAACACCTAATCACCAGCACACAAAGTCAGACGCCTAGACCGCTCAGCCACCGCGGCTTCCACAAAATGGAAGTCGGACAACTGGTAGTCTAGAAGCCATGCTGGCTGAGCGGTCTAGGCGTCTGACTTTGTGTGCTGGCGATTAGGTGCCTGACTCTGAGGGTGTGGGTTCGAATCCCGGATGGGACTAAACCCCAAAAGTACTAGAATCTGTACTTTACTAAGGTGTAATCCCAAATATAACATATGTTACATGGTATTCCTTTATTACTAAAATTACATGTCTAAACACTGATTTGCAACGATAAAGATTTTGGGGATTGTCTACCAAGTCCAGTTTATACCTTTAGTCATGTCAACCATGTTCAATGTCAATTAACCTAACAAGGACTCTGGTTTATAGAAAAAGTCTCCAGCAACATTTGTTGGTATTAAAATGCAATCAAAAAGATCTGGTGGCTATTTTTGTTGAATATGCATACTGAGCCCTAAGGTTGTTCACAATATTTGCCACTAGATTGTCTGGTCCAAATAAGATCATTAACTGGACACTGTGATTGTCCTTAAACGGTTTTCATGACTTATCCTGCCATCAAGTTTTCCGCAGTGTTGCTTAATACTGCACTCAGCAATATTCCACATACAGTGAAACCTGCCAACACCAGCACCTATCTAATCCGGCACACTGTCAAAACCGGCATAAAAGTTTGGTCCCGCCATTTTACAACGATATTATGATCATTAAAACATTGTCTAATCTGGCACCTGTCTATTCCGTATTCCGGCACGACTTTCCCGTCCCAACAAGCAATTTTAACTGTCATTAACACTGTCTAAACCGGCATGGGTATGAGCAGTCCAATCAAGGACCCATAATCCAATACACTAAATAATCCTCTTGGCACGCTAGATAATCAGGAAGTAGTGATTGCGCGGTGAATCAAACGCTGTAAGTCAGCATGGGTATGAGCAGTCCAATCAAGGTCCCTTAATCCAATACACTCCTCTCGGTACACTATATTATAGAGATAAAGAGACTGACGAGTGTAAATGGCAGCCATGTTGGAAAATGATCGTAACTGTCTAAACCGACATTTTATTCGGTCCCATGGGGTGCCGGTTTAGACAGGTTTCACTGTATATGATGGAGGTCTCATACTAATCAAGTCTGGACCAGACAATGAAGTGATTGACATCACAGGCATCACAACTAGGATATGGCTTGGTATCAGCCAAGTCAGAGAGCCTCACCAGCCTATCCCAGTAGTTGGCAAGCAGGGGTTGCTGAAGGCCCATTCTAATCCAGATAATCAGGAAGTAATAATGAGTCCAAACATCAAAACAACACAATCTTAAAGTGAACATGGTGAATAATATGCACATTAGTGTGTGCAATGACAGTCTTAGTAGTGAAACCTCCTCCACTGTGCTTTATTAGGTTCCACTCCCCAAATTGTCGTGATATTGGTCGCTACACCAAGTACAGAGTTGGTATTACTATCACTTACCACTTTAGGATATTTCAATTTGCCAGTAATCCCCATCTGGTTCTTGGCTCTCTCCCACAAACTGGGCCGCTCCACTGTCAATTTTCATTGACATGCACCTGACTGATGGAATACTACCGACAGTTTATATACAGAGGATACTAAGCGACCTTCCAACTTGAATACAAACTTTTCATGAGGATCATGCATCAAACTGCTGAAAAGCTTGTGCAAAATATCGTTGCATGTGAACAATGATTTGGTATCAAATTGATTGACAATAATCTTTTCAAAAAGCAGGGCAATAGTTCATGTGTAAACAGTACCTTTAAACAGTTTGGAATATTTTACAAAATCTTGTTTGCTGTAATATATTACACTGCAGTATCTTCCACAGGCGAGTAATTAACAACAGTCTGTAATTATTGCTATATTGCTTCCATAACTTCTACTATGGTAACATAAACTACATTTTAAAAATTAACCTTGTTATACCCCTATTAAGAATCTTTGTGTGGTTAATCCCTTCATGAAATTAAACAATACGGCCAAAAAAAATAAATGTTGTGGTTCCGATTTCCTACATTTCAGAACTAGGGTAGGTAGGTAGGGGTTTTGGTTTTTTGCCAAACATTTTACATTACTCATGTGTCAGAAAATAAATTTAATCTATTATGTGGTGAGTAAAATTGTTAGGCTCGGCGGGAATATTTAGGGTCGGTCGGGAAATCGGAACCACAAGCTTTTTTTTTTTAGGCCTACATAGGGTGACTGATGCTGATCTTAAATACTGACTCATCACATGATCAGTAGTGTCACATGATGAATACGGACTTGCTAGAAAACAAGATGGAGTCGTGTACTATCATTTCACAGTTTCAAGTTATGAGAGAGAGTGAGAGGAGTGATATGATGATTCTTATGGAGAAGCATGTACAATGTGAATATTGGTTAAAGTATTTGCATGTCACGCCGAAGACCAGGGTTTGATTCCCCACATGGTTACAATGTGTGAAGCCCATTTCTGGTGTGTCCCGCTGTGATATTACTGGAATATTTATAAAAGTGGCATAAAACCTCACTCACTGACTACATGACTGCCCCATATAGGGGTCAGCTGAGACACAAGTGACAAAACTCGCACCTGGACATGACACGGATGGTAGGAGGATGTTGTTTGTGCAGCATCAACCTGCTGAGCGCCATACATCGCCCTTCCAGAGCTTCCAATTACACTGCTAATCTGTAATGATAAAAATGAAATATGATGTTAATACTACATATTATTCAGTAAATAGACGAACTGAACTATAAAAGATAAAAAATTATTTACCTTCCCAATTCACAAATGTTATACATGCCCAAGCAGTGTGTGACTTAATTCTCATGTAAAAATGGCGTTAACATTAACTTTTTTTATCATTCCTGTTGCATTTTATCTTAAAAACATAAAAATTAACTGAACTCACAACATAGGAATTAGGATTGTAAAGGGTTGTGAGATTGGAAAGGTGTGTCCATCCCAAAGGTTTTGTGAATGTCTGTTTGATCAGAAATGCCTCTTTAATCAGAATATTGTAAAGGGTTGATGAAAGACGATCCAAGGGTTGATAAAAAAGACGATCCAAGGGCAAATGATGGTGTTGTGGGTGTCTTACCCTGACTAAAACAATGAAACTTTATGACTGAACACACAGTTGAAGCAAATCAGCAGTCATTAGTGAAGCGAGAGTGAAATAGCAGTAAAAGCTGTGACCAGAGAACTGCAGTCTTGCAACTGGAGCTCGTGATGTTCTTCTCCAACAATGACAGTATACTTACGTAACATGTAAAACTTTCCCCATAACCGATGGCTGGACGTCTTAAAAAATTTTAACATTTAGGCTAGAGGTATCAAAAGCATTTTATTTGGCGTAAGGTTGCCCTTATCCACGAAATATATGAAGCAGGTACGGTTGGAAATCTTGTTACACAACCATCTAACTTCTAAGGTTACAGTAGGCACCGTAGAGCTGCTGTCATTACCACAGAGAGTCTGTGGCTTAAGGGACGTGTATACAACAAACATTACCTACCTTTCTCTGAACATAAAACTTTACGAAATGGTGACGACATATCGCCAGTGATGTGGAAAACGTCTTCAGATTGTTCATCGTAATCGAACCGATTTTCACATGTACCACAAGGAACTCTTCTAGTTGAGAAGGCGAATTTCGTAGCGGAAGTTACCCTTATATCAATTACGGAACGAAAACGCCACTATTTTATTTCTTTCGAAGGATCGTCAAGAACAGAACCATAAACTACGTGTTGTGAAATATTTCTTTTACTCTGTCATTTGTGCGTTGGTTTATATGCAACATTATATGGTGCCACATATTTTTGTTATTGTTGTGTGGGGCAAACCGGAAGTTAAATATCCGGAAATAAACGTCACATGGTGTAAACAAAAGTTCCAAAGTGCAAGGTTGTATTTGCTGGGAGGCGGGATCTTCGTAAGCTTCACTGTATGTATTCGCTCAGCTCACATTCATTATAGTGACAACGAGCTTGATCTGTCTTGTTCAATTATTGTGAAAACAGGATTTGTAGGCACGAATACATGTTATCGTAGATTTTCGATCTTTTATGTCCAAAATGTCCCTGCGCGATATCACCATGGTGATCAGTTCACCAGTTTTTTAGTACAAAACATCAGTTTTTCAGGTACAAAGTGAAGTTTACATGGGTTGCCATGGATAAGGGTCGGTGACAATCACTTTTTTTGGTATTAATTGATAATATAATATTATACTAGTATGGTTATGACCATACCGGCTTTAAGGAGAACAGGTCAAAAGGGCCAAAGGACAAAAGGGCCAACATTGAAGAAGTCAAAAGGGCCAAAAGTAAAAAAGGACAACGAAAACTCAAAAGGGCCAAAGTTTTAAAAAGTAGATTAGAAGAAGTTCATTACAAGCTGTTGGAGTAGTTCTAATCCTACACATCCTAAACATATCAGAGTGTCTCAGTGTTGTTTATTTAAAACATCTCAGAGTGATTAAGTGTTTATAAGTGTAAACGAAAAGTAATGGAAGCTATCCACATCAAATATTCCAAACTGGAGTTGAATAGGGACCAGGGTGTCTTCCTTCCCAATGCTTTGTGCATGAACTAATTTCCCTCCAACAATGGTGTTTACCAAAACATGCTGTACATCCCATCGCCTATTGTACATCCCAATCACCTAATCTCTATCACTGTATATCCATTACTGGCTTCCATCTGTGGTCATTCACTCTATGTAAACATGTTGTACAAACAGTATGTATACCCTATTTTACTTAATCCCCTCACCAATCTGTTGTAATAACAACTCTGTGGCTTTATGTACATACTATATATATGTTTGTAAAAACAACTGTGTGGCTTCCTGTACATACTATAAATACCTCTGTAACTATTCACTGTCATTCACTTAATGAAGGGGCAAGTTTTAGCCCAGAAACGTTGTGTGTAAATAACAAAAAAGTTGCACATCCATATCAAGTGTGTTGTATTACCCTACCAACTTCTAAATGCCTATCAAACATCAAATTACAAGAAGTTTTATACAGGCACTGGATAATTACACTAGTCAGTTATCTAAACAGATTATCTAAACAGATTAACAGTAGTGGTTAAGTGTTTATGTTGTGAGTATAGTCAACCATACAACTGTTTCTGTAATGATTACATGAGGTTTTAACAGAGTCATGGGTGTCAATTTCACTAGTTAGTAATCTAAACATCTTAGATTAATGTTTTAATTAGTTGTGATTATTCACATATATAGTTGTGATAAACTTAATCTGTACACCTAAAACATGGTAACAGTACGGACATATAAATTTAGCACAATCAGCTTTTCACTTACTTGAGATCTGCAATTCTAATATGTACTTTCAATGATGTTTTTTATTATCAAAACTTAATACAATTAGAAAAATAACAACACATATAATTTTTTTATGATTACACTCTTCATAAAAATGACTCATATAGTGAACTTTAACTGCAGTTAAAGATGTGTGAAATAGGAATCAATGAACACCTGTTACATCGAATTTAGATTCAACTTGACTAATGGCGCCACCACATCAGTGGAATGATGATGATGTCTATTGTGAACTTTAACTGAAGTAAAAGATGTGGGAATTAGGAACATTTGAATCACTTATGAATATTTCATCACATATTGATCAACACTCGAATGTATGATGATCACACTATATATTATTACCGGTACTTTTGTTACTTTTTACATATTGATACAAATATAATAAAACATATAAAATATATCTTAGTTTGTATGTTCTTTTGGAATTTGATCTATGGCCCTTGTGACTTTTTGTTGGCCCTTTTGACTTTTTCAATTTTGGCCCTTTCATCCTTTTGCCCTTTTGACTACAACCCGCTTTAAAAGAGTGCCATTGTTAACAATTTAAATTGTTCACTCTACAGACATCTTCAAGCCATGGAAAAGGACAGTGGAATGAGGTCGGAGTTTCAGTCAGTCATGGGAGTAGATACTCATGTACTCAAGTTTGGAGAATTGCCTCCCCCAAGTCACCACACCCCTTTGTTGTTCCTCATCATACCAGGTATAGGGTACAAGAAACAACATAGAGAAACTGCCCCTCACGTCACCACACCCCTTTGTTGTTCCTCATCATACCAGGTATAGGGTACAAGAAAGAACATAGAGAAACTGCCCCTCACGTCACCACACCCCTTTGTTGTTCCTCATCATACCAGGTATAGGCTACAAGAAAGAACATAGAGAAACTGCCCTCCGCCACCACACCCCTTTGTTGTTCCTCATCATACCAGGTATAGGGTACAAGAAAGAACATAGAGAAACTGCCCCTCACGTCACCACACCCCTTTGTTGTTCCTCATCATACCAGGTATAGGCTACAAGAAAGAACATAGAGAAACTGCCCCTCACGTCACCACACCCCTTTGTTGTTCCTCATCATACCAGGTATAGGCTACAAGAAAGAACATAGAGAAACTGCCCCTCACGCCACCACACCCCTTTGTTGTTCCTCATCATACCAGGTATAGGCTACAAGAAAGAACATAGAGAAACTGCCCCTCACGCCACCACACCCCTTTGTTGTTCCTCATCATACCAGGTATAGGCTACAAGAAAGAACATAGAGAAACTGCCCCTCACGCCACCACACCCCTTTGTTGTTCCTCATCATACCAGGTATAGGCTACAAGAAAGAACATAGAGAAACTGCCCCCTCACGCCACCACACCCCTTTGTTGTTCCCTCATCATACCAGGTATAGGGCTACAAGAAAGAACATAGAGAAACTGCCCCCTGCCCCTCACCACACCCCTTTGTTGTTCCTCATCATACCAGGTATAGGCTACAAGAAAGAACATAGAGAAACTGCCCCTCACGCCACCACACCCCTTTGTTGTTCCTCATCATACCAGGTATAGGCTACAAGAAAGAACATAGAGAAACTGCCCTCACGTCACCACACACCCTTTGTTGTTCCTCATCATACCAGGTATAGGCTACAAGAAAGAACATAGAGAAACTGCCCCTCACGCCACCACACACCCTTTGTTGTTCCTCATCATACCAGGTATAGGCTACAAGAAAGAACATAGAGAAACTGCCCCTCACGTCACCACACCCCTTTGTTGTTCCTCATCATACCAGGTATAGGCTACAAGAAAGAACATAGAGAAACTGCCCCTCACGCCACCACACCCCTTTGTTGTTCCTCATCATACCAGGTATAGGCTACAAGAAAGAACATAGAGAAACTGCCCCTCACGCCACCACACCCCTTTGTTGTTCCTCATCATACCAGGTATAGGCTACAAGAAAGAACATAGAGAAACTGCCCCTCACGCCACCACACCCTTTGTTGTTCCTCATCATACCAGGTATAGGCTACAAGAAAGAACATAGAGAAACTGCCCCTCACGCCACCACACCCCTTTGTTGTTCCTCATCATACCAGGTATAGGGTACAAGAAAGAACATAGAGAAACTGCCCCTCACGCCACCCACACCCCTTTGTTGTTCCTCATCATACCAGGTATAGGCTACAAGAAAGAACATAGAGAAACTGCCCCTCACGTCACCACACCCCTTTGTTGTTTCCTCATCATACCAGGTATAGGCTACAAGAAAGAACATAGAGAAACTGCCCCTCACGCCACCACACCCCTTTGTTGTTCCTCATCATACCAGGTATAGGCTACAAGAAAGAACATAGAGAAACTGCCCCTCACGCCACCACACCCTTTGTTGTTCCTCATCATACCAGGTATAGGCTACAAGAAAGAACATAGAGAAACTGCCCCTCACGCCACCACACCCCTTTGTTGTTCCTCATCATACCAGGTATAGGCTACAAGAAAGAACATAGAGAAACTGCCCCTCACGCCACCACACCCCTTTGTTGTTCCTCATCATACCAGGTATAGGCTACAAGAAACAACATAGAGAAACTGCCCCTCACGCCACCACACCCCTTTGTTGTTCCTCATCATACCAGGTATAGGGTACAAGAAACAACATAGAGAAACTGCCCCTCACGCCACCACACCCCTTTGTTGTTCCTCATCATACCAGGTATAGGCTACAAGAAAGAACATAGAGAAACTGCCCCTCACGCCACCACACCCCTTTGTTGTTCCTCATCATACCAGGTATAGGCTACAAGAAAGAACATAGAGAAACTGCCCCCTCACGCCACCACACCCCTTTGTTGTTCCTCATCTATAGGCAAGAAAGAACATAGAGAAACTGCCCCTCACGTCACCACACCCCTTTGTTGTTCCTCATCATACCAGGTATAGGGTACAAGAAACAACATAGAGAAACTGCCCCTCACGTCACCACACCCCTTTGTTGTTCCTCATCATACCAGGTATAGGGTACAAGAAACAACATAGAGAAACTGCCCCTCACGTCACCACACCCCTTTGTTGTTCCTCATCATACCAGGTATAGGCTACAAGAAAGAACATAGAGAAACTGCCCCTCACGTCACCACACCCCTTTGTTGTTCCTCATCATACCAGGTATAGGCTACAAGAAACAACATAGAGAAACTGCCCCTCACGTCACCACACCCCTTTGTTGTTCCTCATCATACCAGGTATAGGCTACAAGAAACAACATAGAGAAACTGCCCCTCACCAGTCATTATGAACTTCAAACTCCATTCTTCTATCACATTTTGCTTTGGGAGAATCAAAAACAACCCGTTCATTTGTAAGTTAAACTTTCTATGCAGGTCATGCAAGTACTGAGTTGGTGATGTTTGCTATTCAGGTCATTTGGAGATGTATATTTGGTTTTTGCACCTGAAAGTCACAAAGTTGTTTTACAACATACACAACAAACCAAATATATGGACCATTTATAATCATGATCACAATGTCAGGAAAGAAGATTACAAATGGTCATATTTATTTTAAAACTTCTTTTGACCCGTTTTACTGCTGAAGAATATAATCAGGAGCTGTTAGTTGAGAATAGTTAACTTAAGGGTTTGTTCAGGACTAACATATGAACATGTCTGATATATGTAAAAACTCCAGTTGATGTTAAAGTGGATGTTTGGAAAGTGAGATGTTTTAAGCGAAATGTACTGCTATCAGCAAATGCTGGAGGAATCATGTCATCAGTTGTTTCCAATTGCACCATGTATGTTGAGTTCCATGTTTGTGTGTTGCAGGTAACCCAGGTATCATCGAGTACTACGAGGAGTTCATGAGGACGCTGTACCACCTGAGTCGGGCCCCAGTCTGGGGCATTGCCCATGCTGGACATGTATCAGTTCAAAATCACACATCAAGTTTAACTGATCTAGGTAGTAGAATAACATTGTTATCAGTTCTCATGTAAAGGATACCGATAGAGTGAAAAACTGATAGTATGTCATAAGGATATTTTAAGAGGTATTGAGAACTATGCAAGCCAGTAAAGCACTACAACATATTCTATTTCCTATTTCAATCCACAAGGCACAGCAAAGCATTACCTTGTGCAGAAAACACACATGCAACACACCATTTTGTCAGAAGAGACATAGTGTTATCAGAATTTAAATATTCTCAACGACATGAAATGGTGTCGTTAAACTGTCCACAGGCAAATTTTCGCCCTAATATGTTTGAGTCACAAGATAGGCTGTGATGTCATGAATATGATTGTTTGATCAGCATTGTAGAAGCTGGTGAGTCAGTTATGAAGCATACAACTTTATGAACAACAATTTCTTGTTTATTGCATATAGCAACATTTTGATTTAGATTATTACAACGCTACCTAACTTGATGACTTAAAGAAGTATATAAAAATGCTTATCAAGATTCAAACGAAGTTGGATTTTCCTTCCATTTCAGTTCAACTGCCCCCAGATGAATTCAGCCTTCAAGGTCAGATTCGTCACAAGGTCGCATTTGTGAAACAGAATGTGCCAGAGCATGTGAAGGTCGTCATGATAGGTCATTCCATAGGCTGTTACATTATTCTCAAGATGATGGACTCTCTTCGCAGACACCATGTCTTACGATGTTTCATGCTTTTCCCTACAATCGAGCGCATGGCCGTGTCACCACGTGGGCTGTATGCCACGCCGTTTCTGCGCTACTTCCGCTGGATGGGAGTGTTGGTGTCTAAGTTCCTCTCCTACTTCTCCCCTCACATGCAGTACAGACTCATCCTCCGCTTCTTCAAGAACAGGAAAGCTCCGGAATGTGCCCTCAATGCTTCCATGAACCTGTTTGACCCATCTTGTGTAAATAATTTCACCTTCATGGCTATGCAAGAAATGGATGAAGTCAACAAACTGCCCAAAGAACTTGTCAAGAAATATTTATCCAAATTAAGCTTTTACTATGGCTCTAATGACCATTGGTGTCCCAAAGAATATTTTTACCAGATGAAGAAGAGATTTCCGCACGCTGATCTCCAGTTGTGTGAGCATGGTTACTCGCATGCGTTTGTACTTGATGCCAGTGTAGAGATTGCTCACACTGTGTGGGACTGGTTACAAGGAGACTTGCACAAACTCAACGATTGAGGGTGTGACCACAAACAATGACACCTTTGTACATTTCTCATAGACAGTGCAGTAGAATAACATGACAGGAATTGTGTGTGTTCATGAGTTTATGCATATATTTTTTCTTCAGATGTTTATGTCTACCTCCTGTTCAACAGATTCAGCTTTTGCTGTCAAAACTAAAGAATGGAAGCTGAGCATGTTTGGAACCAATGAAGACTGGCGATGTGTCATTCTTGTGGCGTAATCATTCTCCTGGTCAAGATAATTTATGATTGAATTCCTCAATATTCACATTAATCAAGGTAGGAAAAATTGGTGTTCCCACTTTAATCTGTGAAGCTTAGTTAATGATTAAAGAAGACAAATGTGTGACATTCAGCACAAAAATGCAACTTCAGCCGAGCCCATTCTGTTCTCAGCAAACAGTGGTCAGTGGGTGTGGCCTAATTTCTGTTTGTCCTCAAATTCAATGCCACAGAAGTCCTGCCAACATATTTCTTGTTGAATGAACTGCTATTTTCAGACTTATACTTTTGTTTGTTTTGTCTTCCAACCCACCTGTAATGGAAATACATCTTTATTGTACTCGGGAAGATCTGGGTTAGAATTGTTCTTCAGCAACTCATGCTTGTTGTAAGAGGCTACTAACGGGATCGGGTGGTCAGGCTCACTCACTCAGTTGACACAGTATCCCAACTGCGTAGATCAATGCTTTTGCTGTTGATCACTGGATTATCTGGTCATATAGCTGGACTATTGCTCTGTGTGTGTGTGTGTGTGTGTGTGTGTGTGAGTGAGAGACATCTAACAGGCTAACCCACAGCAGTTGAAAGTTTAGTCATCTATGGTACTCATGGTAATGTATATGAGAAATATTTCCTGGTTATCAATTAAGGAGAGTGTGTGATACCTGGGTCATAGACACCAAGGTGTCAACAGGACTGACAGTCGGATCGAGGATGAAGGAATACCCTCCAACAAACTATTCTATCAGTTGACATGGAACATGTTCATTTATCAGTTGTTAAAACAACATTTATATATCTGCTGTCTGTTGTACAGTTCCTAATTGGATGGTGCATTCATTTCTGTCACTTTGGCCAAAATTCAAATCTCGGAATCCAGAAAACCCAAACATTGCCCTGGAGAACAATTAAAAGGTATCAGATTCAGATGTACAATCCAGTTCCTTTTACCTGTAACAACTGGACAGTGGGGACCTACTCAAACCCAGTTGTAGTATTGTATCTTTATCTTGTAGACAACATAACACCTATTCATTATGATAAAGTGAGTATGTTTTTGTGCCACTTTTATCAATATTCCAGCAATCTTACAATGGGGGGACATCAGAAATGGGCTTCACACATTGTACCCATGTGGGGAATTGAATCCAGGTTTTGGTGTGATGAGCAAATGCTACTCCACCGCCCCTTATCATATTGAAACACTGTCATCCTGCTGTCGATGGCTGGAACCCAACACACTGTTGTTATTTAACACATTTAACACAGTCTACAAATAAAACAAAGATGCGTTGATATAATGTATAGATCCTTTTTATTTCATGAGTGAAATGTACAAAAGGCAGTAGAGGTCGACCCATGACGGTCGGCGGTAAAACATGGTTAATGTAACATGGTAAACAGTGTCACTAAGTTGTCTCTCTCACACACGCAGAGACTAGCAAGAGCTGAGGTGAGGTTAGTGTGGCTGGTGAATGTCTATCACGATCATGTCATAAAGTGCCAAGGTTAAACCTTTCACTGATAAAAACCCAGAGGCAAAAACATAATTTTTTGGGCAATTTTTAGTTATATAACAAAGAAATATTGTGACACATTGTATGTTCATCTTTATAAAAAAATGATACTTGTTATTGATGAATGCACAAATACTGGCCGTGAAAATTAGAACTTGCCAATGCGAATGAATTCTAAAGGAAATGATTTCTCTAAAACAGAACATACAAAATACAAAGCAATATTAAAAAAATAAAATCATAAAACATGACCAAGCCAGGCACACCTCAACTCAGCTCTCTGGTTGAGATGCTTAAAATCAGAATGATCACAGAATTATCAGGGTGAACAATGTGGTTTCTAAAACCATGAAATTTGTAACCATGGCAACAGGAAAAAGAAAGGGTTTTCAATGTGATACAGACTGAATGTATTTTTTTTTTCACCCAGGTAATAATTCTGAAGAAGCATGAACAAAGTTATTACAGTCTAGCAGTGTCATGAATAATTAATAACATACCCTCTCTGTTCTACCACTGTACGAACTGTGCCAGTTAACAACAGCACTGACAGGTTGAATAATTACAAAACGCTGCAGCACACGATTGAGGCAAGATGTTTACTGAAGTTAGATACACACCCCCACCCACAAATATATAAACAGCCAGCCCTCCCACAAGCACAATTAACGCTTTGTACAAATTTTACACTCCAATGATATGACTTGTATGGCATGTTGTGACGGCAATACGCATGATATCAACAAGGATATAAACATGAAAGAGAGATGACGATTGGCTACTTGCATACACTCCCCACGTCTGCCATCAACACTGTGCCACAGACAGGGACCATGAAAATATGTAATTTGGGTTCAACTGGATTGCCTTACAATTCATACTTAACTTACACAGGGTCAAAAGAAGAGGGAGTTCCATTGTGACTTCTACGATGCCAATAGGCTACAAGTTGCTAAGTGGAAAGGAATAAAATAATAAGCTGAAATATGCTGTCAACCTTGATAACTTAGTTTAAATGTTGGGCAATGCTGCCAATGTAGGAGATAAAATGTGTAAACTACATAGACTAAAACTTGGGAATGAAGAATCGCAACATTTTAAATTGTACCAATAATAAAACTGTATAAAACACGGTATTCATAAGTTAAATAGTAACTAAAAATGTCTGGACAATAAAGGAACTAAATATATACACAGCAACATTCTACAAGCAACAAATCTGTACACTTAAGGAGGCAGAAGGAAACAGGATCTTCTCCCCCCCAAATTCTATCCCCCTGGGGTGGTGGGAAGGGTTGTTAACTCAGAGAGAAAGGAATGATCTGGATGTAGGACAAGGTGGGTTAGGCAGCTGGACAAACAAGGAACAGATGGACACTGAGATGACAGAGGACAACAGTTTGGCACCAAGTCTGTAATACGATTTCTGATTTTGTGTATCCTATTCCAGCCAATTGCTACAATATGTGCTCTTTGACAGGAGTCAACGTTTTTTGTTTTTTTTATATAGTTAGTAACGCCTATGTTCAATTGTCTTGGTGAACACTTTGTACAATAATTGTAAGGGTAAACAAACAATATGTAAACAACTTGTGTGTTATAAACCATCAGTAGATTATACACACATCGTTTAAAATGTCTTACAAATGGAATAATATCTTCCATCTCCAAATCTTTAAAAAGTAACACATTCATGGTGTGGTAAAATGGATTGGTTAAAATATTATTGCACTTTTACTGTTTCAATTCTACATACATATCTCTCCTGTCTCAATTCATACACACAGTTTGTGTTCTGATATGTAAACCGCTGTAAACAAACCAACATAGGCAGAACAATTTCAACTTAAAGCTACAAAAACACGTAAATCTCCAAATTTACAAATAATCTGAATTAGTTCATGTTGAAAGTCACATATAACCACAGCTACTTGATGTGTAACAAAGGCAAACTTGCATTGTACTGATAATCACAACCAAACATACAACATCACCATAGTAACAGTCCCCAGCCAATACAGTATCTTACATCAACTTAACATCACTGCTTCAGGCTTGGTCAAGCAAATCCAGTGAATTCTACAGCCTGTGTTGGATTGGTGAGGCCAGGTCCAAGGCTAACCAAACAAAATCTATCTATATGATAAAACCATTGCAGAAACAATAACTTGTGCTATAGGTTAGTCTGTAGATCAATTGATTACCTGTACATAATATTATAATAATTATTTTTGAGCTATTTGTGATGAACGTATATAAAATGAGAAATAGCACTTAGGTGATTAACGATGTTTGTATATATATGTGTGTGTGTTGGGTTAACCGTGGACAGCGATGCACCAATCAAACACACCCTGGTTCTATGGTTAATAATCTGAAGAGATACAGGTCTGATTGATATAGAGGTGTCTAGCCTGAAGGTGGAATGTGCCCTGACAGCTCACACAGGCCAAGGAGCACAGACCGGGGTATGGAGCTGGGCTACTGGGCACAGACCGGGATGAGGAGCTGGGCAAACTATATGTCCCTGATTGTGGCAGCGTCAGAGTTAGCATTCACCTGGAACAGGATTCACAGAATTAGCAAAAGCATATCTACCTTGTAAAATAAAAACATAAGTTGTTTTCAAACATAATTGATACAGTACATAAGTGACTGTATATTCCTACACTATATCTGAACTTGTAAAAGATAAAGTTAAATGTAAATATTTATAAATTAATGTTTAATTAGTGTGAAAGAAGCTATTCATAACTGTAATTGTACTGTGTAATAAACATGTTGCAATGATAGTGACCTGAGTACAGCATATTATAGTCCGTTTGGGTTCAAATGAGAATGACGGATTAAATATCTCGAAATAGGTATAAGTGCACAAAACATAAATAAGACACATAGTCCTGAAACCACTGTACCCAACAGGATCTGAAATCTGACGTCTTATGATCGATCACAGAAAAGTTGTTTCAGAAACCATAATGTAACATTGTGCTATTTTCACGCTTCACACTGAGGGGTGACAAACAGCTGGTGGAACAGCACCAGCACACATTCTGGTGCAACTCAGCACAGACAGGTGAGATGACCCGAGCTAGTCAGGCGCAGTTCCATCAGCTGTTAGCCACCCCCGGTATGAAGCGTGAAAATAGCACAATATTACATGATAGTTTCTAAAGCAACTTTTTCCGTGATCAATCAAAAATCGTCAGATTTCAGATCCTGTTGGGTATGGAGGTTTCAGGAGCATGTGTCTTACTTATGTTTTGTGCACTTATCCCTATTTCGAGTTATTTAATCATTTGTCCTCATTTAACAACAAACAGACTATAACTACGCCAGTGGATATCCAGGTGCCATCGGAACCCACCATCCCCCAACACCACATCTAAACCTCTATCTGCCACCTCTTCTTGCATCCCTAGTTGAAACCAGACCCCCTGCAACAGCCATCCATCACCTATTGTAGCCCATTGCAAAGATCCATATTAATAACCATCTCCTATTACAAGCATCCTTCTTTCATAACATTCTCTCTGGCCCTTTTGCTGAGGGTTGCCGTCCCAGCTTAGAGATCTTCCCATTACTTGGTGGTATTGAATTCAAGCACACTAAAACAAGATGTTCCATGAAAACTACGCACCTACCGCTTGCCGCCTGTGCTGTTGTAGCGTGATACAGGCGACTGCTGGAGGTCTACTTCATAAATCTGCTGCTTGGTTACTTCCACCTGTACAACAGAGAGACTGTCATGAACTCCTCACAACAC